AATCAGTCAGCCCTGGTTGCTGTCATTCTGATCACCTAGCCTCTCTTAGCTCTGCTTATTTTCCAAGTCTATTCCTCCAGATTCCTCATTAAAAAAATATTGAGGTATGACTTATATAAAGGGCAAAAATCTTAAGTATGGAACTTGATATGTAAACACCTGTGAAGTCTCCACCTAGATCCAATTATAAAATATTTTTAGCATCCTAAAAGTCTTCCCTCTGAAACTTTTTAAAATTAGTCCCATTTCTGCCTGAATTAGCCAGTCAGTTTTTAGCTGAGCCAGAAAGCAACTAAGAACTCTGATTTCTGGTACTTCAATACTTATCAAACGTAAGTGAGTATTGGGCTGAGAAAAGAGCAAAAGAGCATTCCTCTTCATACCAAAGTCCTCAGGTCTGTAAGATTCAAATTAAAACTTGTTATTATTAAACATAATACAACATTATCACTTTCCAAGTCCCTAAAAGTGACTCTATGAGCATCATTACCAGGTACCAAAGCATTAGTACTTATAGTTAAACTGGACATTATAAACACTACATTAATAATAGCAACTTCCACTACAAGAAGCTCATTTAAAAAATACAGTAGAGTCACCACAATCTCATTTGATGGTAACTACATCCTTCAGCTGCTCAGGCCTTACTCACTCACTCACAGACTCTCTCACAGTCCACTGGCAAATTCTTTGGGCTCCTACTTACAAAACATAGCCTGAATACAACCAGTTCTCACCACCTCTAATGCTTGACTTCCCTGATCTGAAACTACCAACTTTCTTGCCTGGACTACTGCAAAACTGGATGTAAGAAGGTAACAGAGAAGGGGGTGCCTGGCTGGCTCAGTCAGTAGAGCATGCGACTCTTGATCCTGAAGTCATGAGTTTGAGTCCCATGTTAGGTGTAAAAATTACTTAAAAATGGGGCGCCTGGGTGGCTCAGTTGGTTAAGCATCTGACTTCAGTTCAGGTCATGATCTCATGGTTCATGGATTTGAGCCCCCCATTGGGCTCACGGTCAGCGCAGAGACCACTTTGGATCCTCTGTCTCCCTCTCTCTCCGTACCTCCTTCACTCACGTTCTCTCTGTCAAAGATAAACTTACAAAATAAATAAATAAATAAATAAATACATACATACATACATACATACATACATAAATATTAAATTAAAAAAAAGAAGATAATAAATGCCTTCAACGTTCTCGAGGAAAGTGAGTTAGAACCTGGCACTGTAGA